TAAACTTAAGTCCTAATGCATCATTTGTATTATCAACGTGAATGTTAAAATCTCCGACAATTAGCGCTTTATCAACAGTAACCAATAGGTCTGAGATCTGCAAATTCTTTTAGGAAATCTGTATATGGCCCTGGTGGTCTATACACAGTAGCCAGAGCAAGAGATACGATAGATTTCTTTTGCATATCTGACAGTGTAACATTAAGCTTTAGTATTTCGAATGAGTTAAACCTGTATCCTGTCTTCTGAGTAACATTGAGAATATCACTATATATTGTTGCAACACCGCCGCCACGACCAGTCTGACGGGGCTCATGCTTATAACAGTAGCTTGGTGGAGTAGACTCATTTAGACCAATATAATCATTAGGTTTTAGCCAGGTTTTAGTCAAGCAGAGTACATCAAAACGATCATTGCATTTACAATAACTGCTTTGGGTGAGAGTGATCTAATGTTTAGGAGCCCAAACTCTAAAAATTGTTTTTGTTCATTTATTTTGCATTTTTCTGGTTTAATCACGATCAGATTTTTTCTAGAGCCTGCATTAAATTTATATTTTGACCTCACTATTCGGGTAACAGACACAGCCTTTATAGATTGGACAGCGCAAGTACTTCTGTCATTTAAGTGGTTAGAACAAAAGCCATCATAGCAGTTATTTGAGAATTGGCTTACTAGCACCGAACCTTTCATGTCCTCGTCGATATACGTGGGAAGCAGTCCTGACACAATGATCGTAGTTGCAGGCGATGTGCTGCGTACCGTCTCTATCAGGCTCCTGAAGTCCATCTTCAGTGTTTCTGTCTGCCGCAGCTTGGTGTCGTTAACCCCCGCGTGCAGTACGACCGTTCCAATGCTCTCGTCGCCCTTCTGGATCGCGGGTGTCTGCTCAGAAACATCGAGAACATGAGTACCAGGAAAACAGTGGGTGTGCACTTTACCTTCAGCTAACGTAGCACGGACGTGCCAGACGATGGAGATTCCGACGATCACAGCTTCGTGTTCCGTCTTGCGGAGGGGAGCGAAGCGTTCCGGGTGGAGATCTCGAAGACCGGAGGCGGCGGAGGGGCAGAGGCCCTCGCCCGGGGCCTGGCTCGCGTCTTCCGCTGCGGGTGCACCCAGGGTCCGTGGTGTCCCGGCGCAGGAGTGAAGGACATCTGGGAAGATCGCGTCCTGGGTGCACGGGGCCAGGTGGTGGGAGTGTTAGCAGCGAGCTGTATACTTACCCCGGACTTGTGAGCGTCAGCCCGGGATGTTTCCAGTTTCCAGATGTATAATCTCCGCTCTCTCAGCTGGGCCTGCTTCTCCACCAGGTCGCAGATCTGCTTCTCCTCGGCCTCCAGCTTGAGTTGCACCGAATGCAGCTCGAACGTGTGCTCACCTGCACTCAAAGGTAGACACACATCCGCCATTAAAGCAAGTAACAGTGAGTAAAACAGTGGTAATGTGTGTGAATAGAGTATTAGCAATGTAAGCGAGATTAGCGGCAACCACGCTAGTGATGCTAACGGCAATAATCTGATAGCGGACTCGGAGAATCAAAATAAAACTAGTGATAACAAGGCGCTCTGATAGTTTTTGTTGTAGAATACGATAGGGGATATATTCACACGTTATAGAAATGGAAATTATGGTGTATAAAATTGATTTTAAGATAAAAAATAGACGATAAAGAATTAACTTGATGGAGATCAAACTCAAAACACGCGGCAGCAACAAACAAAAAGTGATGTTTGGTGTGACGTCTAGTGTGTTTTAGGTTAGTCTTAGGCATTTTGTGATTACAGCTTTTTCAAATTACATGTTTTTTTCCCATCTAATATCTGGGATGAAAATCAAACAAATAGACAGAGAAGTGAATTTGTCACAGTAAAGACAAAGACCGAAAGGTATTAGAATAGTGCAGGAAGCCTCTAGCACATACAGTACATGCAGTTACCCAACATGGCAAAGTAGCATTTCTACCCTTTTATTTGTGTTCAGTAATATTTTCATAGTGCAGGGTTTGGTGCCAAAACACATTTCTTGTAATACGAAGCCCTGCAGGGTGCTCCATTTCCAGAGCACCATCTTCCATTTTTGTGAACATATTTATTTGTCTTGCATTTTAATGCTTCAATTGCCAATTGAAACTAATAGGCTTAAACATGCATTACATTATTTAAAAAAATCACCTGACAGAGTGAAGCAAACTATGCCTTATTCATACAGTATTTCAAATTGCTAAATTTAATCACATTTAAAGGGGACCTATTATGCAAAAATCACTTTTATAAGGTGTTTGAACACAGTTGTGTGACCGCAGTGTGTGAAAACAACCAGCCTACAATGGTAAAAATCCACACACTTATTTTTTTATAATCCCAATAAATCACGAACAGTCTCTCAGAACAAGCGATTCCAGATTTCTCCCTATGTACACGTCATCTTAGGGAAAAAGTCCCGCCCATTTGTGACGGTGTCTGCTCTATTAGCATAAACACAGCCTTGAGTGAGTAGCAGCTGTCCGCCATTACCGTTTTCTTGCTGTATCTGCTGGAGATACAATGTCGGCGCAAATTACAAGTGTTGTGTTGGGATGCACCAATGAACAATGGAGTCTACATAGACTCCCTCTATCTGAGCCGCTGAGGACACTGTGGTTAAATTTCATTTTCAAAGGAAATATCCCGGAAAAAAATCTGTAAAGTCCCCTATATGTTTAGGGATCAATACCAAACGTTTCTGACATTTTAAGTGCATGAGATTGTCCTGTTTTGCTTTTGCCAACTATTGAAGCTCCGCCCTGATGTGAAAAGGTGGCCGGAAACAACATCTCATTTGCATTTAAAGGAACAAACACAAAATGGCATGTTTTCGGTCATACCAAAAGTGGCAATTTTAACAATCTATAAAAAATTATCTGTCAGGTATTTTTATCTGTAAACATATTTGAGCTAAAACTTCACATACACACTCTGGGGACATCAGAGACTTATTTTACATTTTGTTAAAAGGGGCATAATAGGTCACCTGCGAATCACTACTGAGCATGCAAAAAGATGTAAAAATAAAAATAAAAATCTTGCTGCATTAAGCTAATGAATTTTGAGGGTGGATGAATTTTTTTTTCTCTTTTTGAATTCACACTACATAAAATGTGCTTCCTTTTTTATACAGTAACAAAATTTATACAGTTTATGAAATTCTCTCTTTTGCACCTCATATCTGTAAATGCAGAGCAACATAAGCAATGTCATATTTGTATCAAGAACCACTGTTCTTTAAGCTGTCTGTCTCATGTTTGTTGGAACACAAAATTAGTTGTTGCTGATTGGGTAAAAATCTGTAAGACATGAATATGTCTGGTGTCTAGCTTAAGGAATCCGTGTTAATGCAAATTCAGAGGCTATGTTGAAGGATAAGAAGGCTAGCAGACAGTTTTGTCAGGATCAAAATGTACTTCAGCAGAACCTGCTGCCTTGTGGATTGCATTAAAAATATAAAGTCTTATGAGAAACCTGAGGCGACTCTGTGAGCGGATTTATGGCACTGACTTGACAAATCTGAGATGGCCATTTTGACGTGAGAAGTTGTCTATTTTCCAGCTGTGCAGTCGTGCTATCAGCTCCTTTGTGTCTGTGACAGGCTCTGAGGAACACTGAGAAGAAAAGTCCCATCATCCCAGGAATAGAGAGCAGGCACATTTGCTGCCATCGAAATAACATTCTGCTCTCAGATATCTGTTACACAGTGTGACACTGAAATTAATCCAGAAAAATGTGATGATGTGTGGAAAAAAAGGGCTGACTCATATTTCTATGTTTGATAAAAGAAGCCTGACCGGATTAGGAGGACAGATATACATAGCCCAATGTTTGGGTGAAGTGAAGGAAATTTCATGATTTATGCTTTCATGGGTCTGTACCTAAGCTAAAAACAACCGCAAAAACAAATCCTGCTTTCGAAGCATGATTCACATATTTTCAATGCAAATTTATACAAAATAAACAGCATGATTAAATAGGCAGCTAATGCAACAGTTACAATACATCCATGCATTCCTTTATTGATGACTTTAAGAGGTACCCATAATCCACTATAGTCTGAATCGCAGATTGACAGATTGACTATTTTGACAGTGAGTCTTTTCCTGTTCTCTCTGTATGAGTGTTAAAATCAATACTGCTTTATCAAACCGTGTCGGAGAGCTTTGTTGGATTATTCTTTGTTGAAGGAATGGACTTGTGTCTTGCTTTGGAGGAGTCTGATGTCTTACATCAGGTAAACTATGATTGTTCTATCGATCTTTGATTGAACTATTCATGCTGAAATATATATATTTATTTCTTTTGAATATAGTTTTGGAGTTTAAAATTTCGATATGATAAAATGAGTAACTGTCAGGAATTGGCACCGTAATGTAGCGCTGCTGAATCTGACCTGAGACAAGTGTGTGTACCATGAGCCATGGAGAAATGATTGTTGTTAATAAAATAAAAAATAAAAAACCCTACAAGGCAGATGTAGCTTTTTTGTGACTTTTTTTATTTTTTATTTCTTGCTTAATACCTCATTCCAACTTTTTTTTTTGCTAATTCTGCCTATTTTATGTTTGGATTACCTTCATCTTCTAACACTCACTATAAAAAATGCTAGTAATTTAATGGCTAAAAACAGTGTTCAATGTAATCTTTAGCAAATCGATATTAATACTTTTATTATACTCTAATGATAATTTTGTTATACTCTACATTATAATGTTGTGTTGTCTAAATGATTTTAATGTTCATTGTTTTATTTTTAATTAATTTTTTACATATATTTTAGGGCTGGGCGATAATTCGATAACGATGATTATCGCAATATAATTTTCCTCGATAAAACGGTATGAAGAGTTCGATAAATGTTCGATATAACGCTTATGCGCCAAAAGCGGAACGAAACAGAGCGACTCATTTGAATCGCACCACACGGACCGTTTATCCGCTCACGCGAGCACTAAACAGTGCTGTGAGATCCAGTGTGAAGCGCTTGAACTCAGCGAGGAACACAAATGACTCGGTGATTTAAACTAGTTTAAAGCCAAACAGGAGAAACACTGTGTGCAACGAACGAGACAGTCAGAAGGCTTTTCAATCTACACATCGCCATTTACCATGGATTAACTGTAGTAACACTCACTGCACCATGGTATTGTGGCACAAATGTGGGATATTCACATTGAATTTTATTACAGGAGTAATAAATGGTAATGGTATATAATTATAGTATGTATTTGTGATTAAGCTATAGCATGTGTGCATTTATACTGAATGTTTTTAGACTACTGTTTTTCATACAGGCTACCTAAAAACCATATAGTTATATTTTTACCATGGTATTGAGGTTCTATATGTGTGGTTTTAACTGTGTTTATCATGATTTAAATGTATGCTACTATGGAATACCAATGCTTAATAAAAAAAATAAAAAAAAGATCAGAATAAATTTAACCATATAAAACTGAGGTTGCTACAATTTTTACAGATGTTACTGATTTTGATAATGAACCAAATTTACCTCTACATCCTAACTCAAGCTACTAATTTCTAAGAGACAAAAAAAGTGATATTATTATTATAAATATTATCAGGCAACCCAAACCTGTTTCTTGATTTGAAACAATATCACTCTTTAGAACATGCAAAAACTAAGAAATACATTTTTCTATTTAGATATTTCTTTTGTTAAGGAAAATTAATGGTCTGGTTTTTACAACTTAAACTGTGGAGCAAAAATCTGGCTTTAAACTTGAAAGAAATAAAGATTTGACATTTATCGTGATAATTATCGATATCGACTGATATGGAAAAAATTATCGTGATAATTCTTTTGGCCATATCGCCCAGCCCTAATATATTTATCTGTTATCAGCCATAACATGAAAATAATTGACTTATTGGTATATGGCAGAATTATAAAATTGGTACATCCCCTAATATGCATTATCCAATTCATAAATCTTGTATGGTAACTTTAAACAAATAGTAGGCTACTTACTAGTGCTAGTATATGTAATTGTGCTGATTATGCATAACAAATCATTTCCTCTGCATGCCTATGGTGGTTTTACACAAATTACAGTTGAAACCACTTTAGTCTGTGCAGCTGACTATAAAATGATCCAGATATTACTGCGTTCCCTCTTACTAACTGAATCACTGGTGACTGCGGTGGATTGCTCTCCCTCACCGACCTCAATATCTTCAGATGCTAACAGATACACAGGTGACAAGAGATGAATGGTGTAAGTGAGAAAGTGAGGGTACAAAATATGAGCGCTGTTGTGCTTAGACTGACTTGTATTCATCACATGACAGTTATGAGTTAGTTTGGCTCCACTCACACCCAAAATCCATAGCTCT